TAGAAAGAACATTTTAAAAATTACAAAAGACACAATTAGTAAGCTAAGAATGGTAATAAAACAGAATACTAAAACATACTTGATCAATCCATCAGAAAGCAGAAAAGAAGTGGAAATTGAACTAAGATGGGACAAATAAAACAAATAGCAAGATTTAAACCCAATAATATCGATGATTTCATGAAATAGAAATGATCTAAACTCAGATTGAAAGGCAGAGATTATCAGAATGTATTTAAAAAGTGAGACACAAACTATAAGCTACCTCAAGAAATGAAATGTTAAATATAAACACTAAGATAGGCTGAAAGTAATAGACTGGAAAGAAAGAAAAATAAATGAGCCAGGTGTGGTGGCTCATGCCTGTAATCCCAGCAGGGAGGCCAGGGTGGGAGGACAGCATGAGCCCAGGAGTTCAAGACCAGCCGGGGCAACAGAGTGGGACCCCATCTACACACACACACACACACACACACACACAAGCCAGGTGGTGGCACACACCTGTAGTCCCAGCTACTCGGGAGGCTGGCGGATTGCTTGAGCCCAGGAGGTCAAGGCTGCAGTGAGCTGTGATAGTGCCACTGGACTCCAGCCTGAGGAACAGAGTGAGACCCTGTCAGAAAGGAAAAGAGAGGGTAGGGGAAGGGAGGGGAGGGGAGGGGAAAGAGAGAGGGGAAGAGGAAGAAGAAGAAGAGAGAAGAAGAAGAAAGAAGAAAGAAAGAAGAAAGAAGGAAGAAGGAAGAAGGAGGAGGAAGAAGGAAGGAGGAGGAGGAAGAAGGAAGGAAGGAAGGAAGGAAGGAAAGAAAGAAAGAAAGAAAGAAAGAAAGAAAGAAAGAAAGAAAGAAAGAAAAAAAGAAAGAAAGAGAGAAAAGAGAGAGAAAGAGAATTAGAAGGAAAGATCAGAATCAATGAAATAAAAAACATATACACAATTGAGGGTAATCAATGAAACCAAAAGCTGGTTCTTTAAAAAACTCAATAAAATTGGTAAACTTCTAGCTAGACTAATCACGAAAAAAGAAGACATAAATATCCTTACCAGGAATGAAAGCACAAATATCACTATAGATTCAGCAGATATTAAAACAATTATAAAACTATGAACAACTTTATGCCAATAAACTTGACAACGTAAATTAAATGAACAAATTTCTTGAAAGACACAAATTACCAAAGCTGGAACAAAAAGAAATAGAAAAATCTGAATGGCCTCATAATTATTAAAGACATTGAATTACCAATTAAAAACCCTTCCACAAAGAAAACTCCAGATCCAGGTTGCCTTACTGGTGAATTCTAGCAAATATTTAAGGAAGAAATAATACTAATTCTACATAAACATTTCAGGAAACAGGAGGCAGAAAACTTCCCAACTCATGTTATGAAGCTAGAAGGTCACTTCTAGCTGAAAATTTGGAGAAATCATATCACCAAAGAAACTACAATCTAGTTTGTCAAATCCTCTGACAATTCAGCTCCTAATCCCTACAAAAGCCAGTAAGCATTTGATCCCATAGAAGAAACTGTGCAGCCTCCAAGAAGTTTCCTCTCCAGTGTCTTCCTAGATGTGGACACGAAGTGTAACAGACAAGGAGGAACATTCCAGAAAACAGAGCCGGCCCTGCCAGGAAAGGGGACTTCACTATTTATGCTCAATAGGATTTGGCAAGTGCCATAGACTAGAGATTGGGTCGAAATAGGGGTCTTTGTTTTATTTACCCGATTCATACTCTTTTGTTCTGTTTTGTTTTTTTGAGACAGAGTTTCACTCTTTTTGCCCAGGCTGGAGTGCAATGGCACAATCTCGGCTCACTGAAACCTCCACCTCCTGGGTTCAAGCGATTCTCCTGCCTCAGCCTCCCGAGTAGCTGGGATTACAGGCGTGCACCACCACGCCCGGTTAATTTTGTATTTTTAGTAGAGATGGGGTTTCTCCATGTTGGTCAGGCTTGTCTCTAACTCCCAACCTCAGGCGGTCCGCCCACCTCAGCCTCCCAAAGTGCAGGGATTATAGGCGTGAGCCACCACGCCTGGCCCTTACTCTTTCTTTGTATGTTTGGGACACACAATATGTTTTAGTTTGTAAGTCATTGGATTAAACTAGTGTACACTGAGTTGGTTGGAGGATGAATGACAAATCTTTTATAAGTCACTGGACCACAATGATCTACCTCTGGACCCAAAGGAGCAAACTGCATATAAGTCAGAGAACCTAAATTTTGAGCTGAATGCTGCAAGTAGTTAGAACTTTTACAGTGGTCTCCCTTAGGGATAAGGTGAGTGAGTTTCATATACAGGAAGCAGAGAGGGCATGGCCAAAGGGGCAGATGGTCCCCTAATATCGATTTTCCAGTTTTCCCATAATTTTAGAATCCCCAGTCAGCACGCACACCTGGTCTTTATCCATTCACCTGCTGACGCACACTCAGGTTGCTTCCTAATCTTGGCTATTGTGAATAATGCTGCAGTGAACATGCTAGTACAGATATCCTCCAAGACACTGATTTCATTTCCTCTGGATATACATCCAGATGTGGGATTGCTGGATTGCATGGTAGTTCTGTTTTAATTTTAATTTTTTACTGTATTCCATCATGGCTCTTCCAATCTACCTTTTCACCAACAGTATACAAGGGTTCTCTTTTCTCCACTTCCTTGTCAGCATTTGTTATCTCTCGTCTTTTTTTTTTTGAGACGGAGTCTTGCTCTGTTGCCCAGGCTGGAGCGCAGTGGCCGGATCTCAGCTCACTACAAGCTCCACCTCCCAGGTTTACGCCTCAGCCTCCTGAGTAGCTGGGACTACAGGCACCCGCCACCTCGCCCGGCTAGTTTTTTGTATTTTTTTAGTAAAGACGGGGTTTCATCGTGTTAGCCAGGATGGTCTTGATCTCTTGACCTCATGATCCTCCTGTCTCGGCCTCCCAAGTCTTTTTTTTTTTTTTTTTAAAGACGGAGTTTCGCTCTGCCGCCCAGCCTGGAGTGCAGTGATCAGTATCACTAATCAGTGATGTTGGGCCCCGTCACACACTTGTTGGCCATTTGCATGTCTTCTTTGGAGAAATGTCTATTCAGGTCCTTTGCACATTTTAAAATTGGGTTATTTGCTTTTTTGCTATTGAGTTTTGTAAGTTCCTTATACATTTTTGATATTAACTCCTTATCAGATATATGATTTGCAAATATTTTCTCCCGTTCCATAGGTTGCCTTTTCATTTTGTTGACTGTATCTTGAAAAGAAATTTATAACCTATTCTTTTAAATTACACAATGGTCTAATGAAGGGATAGAGAGAGGAGAGTGGCAGCCAGGTCACGTCACATACATCACAAATCCACTCCACATTCTCATCTTCCCATCCGTGTAAACCACCAAGGAGTCCAGGCTTCACTCAGCCAACCAGGCACAGTCATAACTACTCCCAGGCCTTGAGCCAAAACATGGAATCCAGATTCTCTTTGAAGTGCATCCATGTTGATAAATTGCACTAACCTACAATTCATTCTTGGCTTTGTATCCTCATAGTCCATTCCTGCATGCATTCCCCCTAGCCTTTATTGATTGATTTATTTATTTTTGAGATGGAGTTTAGCTCTGTTGCCCAGGCTGGAGTGCAGTGGCACGATCTCGGCACAGGCTCAGGGGGCTGCCATGGTGTCAGAGAAGGCCTGGAGCAGGAAGTGCAAAGACACACAGCAGAGATGCAGCTCTGTGTCCCCTGCAGTTAAATAAAGGTGGGCTGAGGGCATCAGTCAAGACACCATCTCCTGACCCCTCAGATCTACTCAGCGACCACATTGAGTCTGCTCTGTCACGATTCTTCAAAGCAAAGGCTAGTTACAACTCCTATGAAAGCCTTAATACAAGAGGCTTAGCAGAACAAATACAATCCCCACTGCTACAGCTTCTCCCAAGTAACAGATATTCAGCAGCCACTTCCTCCTTGGCCTCACCCTCACTAGCATTCCAGCTTGTCTCCATGGCTTGCCTGGTGACACCGCCCAGACCTTCACCCTGTGGGGTCTGAGCCCTTAGAGGCTATGGCTGCTGAAAAGACCTTTTCAGCCAGGCGTGGTGGCTCAGTCCTGTAATCCCAGCACTTTGGGAGGCCAAGGTGGGCAGATCACAAGGTCAGGAGATCGAGACTATCCTGGCTAACACGGTGAAACCCCGTCTCTACTAAAAATAAAAAAATTAGTTGGGCGTGGCAACGTGCCCCTGTAGTCCCAGCTGCTCAGGAGGCTGGGGCAGGAGAAAGGCGTGAACCCGGGAGACGGAGCTTCCAGTGAGCTGAGATCGTGCTACTGCACTCCAGCCTCAGCGACAGAGCGAGACTCCATGTCAAAAAAAAAAAAAAAAAGAAAAAAAGAAAAGAAAAAAAAAGACCTTTAATTGTCATTACTTGGCATGGAAGCACCAAGACAGACCTAGATGAATCTTCTAAGTGCCAGACCAATCCCTGCTTGCCCCATTACGCAGCAGCCACGCTCTATCCTCACTGTTTATCAGGATCAAGTATCCCCTCCTTTGTGGCCTGCTGGTCCACCAGTATGAGGAGCTGAGAGTAACCTGGTGGTCTTTGCAGATTCAGGCTTAGCGGGGGTATCCTTCCTGCAACCAGCGGGAGTGCCCTTGTGGAAGCGTTCCTACCTGGGAAACAGGCCCTAATCCGGCAGATCCTGAGGCTGTGGAGACAGAATGTACAAATTCTAAGTGTGAGTCCCTGGGAACGATGGTGAGAAGCAGCAAATCCCAACCCTTGGGTTCCTGGACCTGTGTCTTTGTTCTTGGATCCACAGAATGTATCTACTGGGGGCAGAGCACCATGTGTTAGGCTTTGATTCAGTGTGTAGATCCCAACTCCTCAGGATACTGTCCTAGAACCAGGACCTCAGCTAAGCCCTTAAGAAGTCATCCCATCTTTCCAGTAGCCTAGCGGCTTTTGCGTAACGCAGGATATTAGGGAAGCAGTGGATCCCATGGCAATCCACACACTACCATACCTCTTTCACTATAAAATGGCTTTCTTGGCCTGAGGCAATGTGATCCATGATCCCACGTTGGTACATGGAGCATGCTTGAAGTGCCTGGATAGTGATGCTGGCCTGGGACCCTGTGGATACAGAAGACAAACCCTTATCCAGAGTGGGTGTCAACTCCAGCAACGATGAAGGGCTGTAACCAACTTGCCACTAAGTAATTAGTTGGGGTGCTCTAGGGATGGTGTCTCCGCAGGGGCTCAGCACTGATCACTTTCAGCAGCAGTCATCATGAGACAAGCCTTGATAAAAGGCCTGTGTTGGGTGACACTAACCTGTGTTCCTTCTGCATGATGCCTCCACTGACAGTCCACTGTGCAAGCAGAGGGTAGCCAGGGGCACAGCTGACTGACATCCATCCATCCTGCTGTTCAGCGACTCCTCTGCAGTATTAACATGAGGCAGAAAGATGCACATATTGTCTGGCTACTCCTGTAGGTCTATCTTCCCTTCTTGCCCTTTTCAGGCCCCTGAGGAGCCAGCAGGACGTCACAACCCAGAAGCTCATATGCGTCCCTCCCTCAGGCCACTACTCTGTCTGCTCCCTTCCTACAAAGTGGATATCCACACGAACTGCTGGAAGCTCAGCCCCATGGAGGATTTCCTATTATTGTCCTTTAGGGTCACCCTGAATGGGACTGTAGTGTACCTGTGGTTCATTTTCAGTTCATATCAACACATCAAACTGACCCATACACGAACCAGACCAGAATGTTTGTTTGTTTTGTCTAAGAGAGAAGTATCAGTGCAAAGCAGATGTGGGGCCACACCGCCACCTCTTCCTGTAAATGACTGTTACCCACTAGACAGGCTTGGGTCCAAGCCCAAGGCTACCTTTTTCATTGCACAATCAATTGCTACTGAGCCTCTGACCTACTGACTTGGAGGATCTGACAATATCTCGCTTGGGCAGACTCTGTTGCAAGGTCACCTGCCCTACCAGAAGGTGCTCAGTCTCTACTTGGGTCTGGTAGTGTGCCTGATACTGCTTTCACTTGGTGAGTAGTTCTCTGCTGCAGAAGGCATGGTCTTGTCCAAGAACTCTAGGACACTGCACTGCAACTCTTCCGTTGGAGTTTGCCAGAGATGCCATATGGGGTCCTTCCGACTCCAAATAAGCTCCCCGTAACCCACTGGATCTACGCAGCAGGGAAGCCCATCTCCCAATCCAAACCTTTAGCAGAGCCCTCTTTTTCTCTGAGTCCTACTCAATGCTGGAAGTTTCCCCGTTACCCAATACAGGGGTCAGAGGTATCCCCTAGTGCAGTGCACGCTGACTCCAAGACACAGAGGTGCATCAATGCTGTGCCTCTTTCTTCCTTATAAGGATGCAGGATGCAGTAACTTGTCCCTGGCTCACCCTCAAACGCTGCACCCCTGAAAATGTCACTGATCTGGCAGGCTCCAGAACTTCTGAGGGCTTCTCCCTCATCCTCTGACATGCATTGCCTTAACAAGGCCAGAGCACTTCCTTCTCCACCGTGTCCAACTAGTATGATGTCATCGATGTTATATGGAATATCGATAAGCTACCTAAGGTCCAACTGGTATGATGTCGTCAGTGTTACATGGAATATAGATGATAAGTGGCCTAAGGTGCAACTGGTATGTCATCAGTGTTATATGGAATATAGATAAGCTACCCAAGGACTATTGTGACAAGAGAATAGGAGAGTTCAAACAGCACGAAGCAAGACAATTTATAGAGCTGTCCTTCCCATATAAGTGTGAACTGCTTTCAATCCTCTTTACCACTGGGAATTGAAAAGAATGTTCACCAAGAGCCGGGCGCGGTGGCTCAAGCCTGTAATCCCAGCACTTTGGGAGGCCGAGACGGGCGGATCACAAGGTCAGGAGATCGAGACCATCCTGGTTAACACGGTGAAACCCCGTCTCTACTAAAAAAATACAAAAAAACTAGCCGGGCGAGGTGGTGGACGCCTGTAGTCCCAGCTACTCGGGAGGCTGAGGCAGGAGAATGGCGTGAACCCGGGAGGTGGAGCTTGCAGTGAGCTGAGATCCGGCCACTGCACTCCAGCTTGGGTGACAGAGTGAGACTCCGTCTCAAAAAAAAAAAAAAAAAAAGAAAAGAATGTTCACCAAGTCAATAATTGCATTGAGTGCCGGAGGTGCATTCACCGGTTCCAGGAAAGATACCACACTTAGCACAGCTGTGTGATCGGGGACACGACTTGGCTAAGTTTGTGCCGGATAACATCATTTACTTGAATCCACCAAGACTTAGCAGGAGCCATTCAGGTTAATTGAAAGGATGAAATGGTGACCACCACTTTATAAGTCTTTGAGGGCGAAATACCTCTGCAATTATACCTGGAATGCAGGATTGTTTCTGACTTACAATCCTGGAAAGGTTTCAGTAGGTGAGGAGTTTCAAAAGGTTCTACTTTGCTCTTCCTTACCATATGGTACCAAAGGCCTGGGATTAATGTACAAGCTTGGCCCTCTGCTAGGTACAAACATCCCAAGTATGCATTGAGACCAGAGAAGTAACCACAGGACTTGGGTTGGGATTCTGATTATCATCTGATTTCCATACACCTGTACCCTAATGAGAGGGCCATGATGCTTCAGGGGTCCTGGTAACAACGTCAGCTCAGATCCTGTATCTAACAGCCCTTGAAAGATCTAGATAGTCCTTTTTCCAAAGTAAACTAGTTTTTTTGGTGTGTTTTTGTTGTTGGTCAGACAGGGTCTTGCTGTGTTGCTCAGGCTGGAGTGCAGTGGTGTGAACACAGGTCACTGCAGCCTTGACCTCCTGGGCTTAAGTGATTCTCTCACCTCAGCATCCAGAGTAGCTGGAACCACAGGCACCTGCCACTAGGCCCAGCTAATCTTTTAATTTTTTGTAAAGACAGGTTCTTGCTATGTTGCCCAGGCTGGTCTCAAACTCCTGGGCTCAAACGATCCTCCTACCTCAGCTTCCCAAAGTGCAGGGATTACAAGTGTGATCCACTGCCCCCAGCCAGAATCAGTTACTTTTTTTTTTTTTTTTTGATACGGAGTCTCGCTCTGTCGCCCAGGCTGGAGTGCAGTGGCGCCATCTCGGCTCACTGCAAGCTTCGCCTCCCGGGTTCACGCCATTCTCCTGAGTAGCTGGGACTACAGGCGCCCGCCACCACGCCCAGCTAATTTTTTGTATTTTTAGTAGAAACGGGGTTTCCCCGTGGTCTCGATCTCCTGACCTCGTGATCCACCTGCCTTGGCCTCCCAAAGTGCTGGGATTACAGGCGTGAGCCACCGCGCCCGGCCCACTTTTTTTTTTTTGAGACGGAGTCTCGTTTTGTCGCTCAGGCTGGAGTGCAGTGGCTCGCTGCAACAAGGCCTGGGTTCAACAGATTCTCCTGCCTCAGCCTCCCGAATAGCTGGAATTACAGGCACACACCACCACACCCGAATAATTTTTGTATTTTTAGTAGAGACAGGGTTTCGCTATGTTGGCCAGGCTGGTCTCAAACTCCTGACCTCAAGTGATCCGCCCTCCTCAGCCTCCCAAAATGCTGGGAGTACAAGCGTGAGGCACCGCGCCCGGCCCAGTTACTTTTTAAAGTGGCTCTAGGTCCCTTTAGGGTAGGATTGCCGGAGTATTTTTTGGTATATGCTCAGAGGCTGGTATTGTAAGATCCTTCCTGAGAGGAACCAAGCCTCCTTGTCAATTAATGGGCTCTAGGTCTCAAAACTGACGCAGATTTAAACAGAATGATCATGATTTTCCACTGCAGCAAGTGATATTAGCCTTGTGATCCCCAATTTTTGATTTCTTTCTGGTTATCAAATCAAACAATACTCTAGTCAGATGCCCCAAGGAAAACCATGGTTCGACAGACACTGCCACGGATCCCTGCGGGTCCAGCGTTGCTGGTCGCCGCACCAGCCTGGGGCAGCAGCAGAAATGCAGGAGGCACGTGTTTAAATCGGGGCGCCCTCAATGTGAGGTGCGCAGGCCTAGAAGGGGGCTGCGGCAAGCTGCCAGTCTCCACCTTCCGCTTTTGGGTTTGACTCTGTAATTAGTTCTAGGCCTGAAGGAGACGAGGAGGATGGGGGAGAGGGGAATGAATGAAGACGCGCATCTCAAGCAGGGCAGCAAAAGCCTCCTCAGAGGCGCGGTTCTACCGGACAGGGGAGTCCCCGTGTGACTGGGGATTTATGCACCTGGAGTCATCGAACTGTCCCAAGGGCCATATTCCTTCAGCAAATGTTTACTGCGTACCCACCAGGTGCCCGCATCCCGCACTCTGCCCGCGGTGGGCGGCCCTGCCTAGCGCGCGCGCCTCCTCCAGGCCTCACCCACGCTCAGGACGGACGCGCGCTGGGCGGCTCTTCCTCGTCGGAGCGCCCCAGAGGTCGGGGAAGAGGGCCCGGCAAGGAAGCCCTCGCACCGGAGCTGCAGCTGCAGCCGCCGCACCACCGCCCCTCCGGCCCCCACGGGACAGAGGCGCGGCTCCTTCTCTCCGGTCTTTCGGGACGCTACCTCGCCCAGCCCGTTCCGCGCCCGCGCACGCGCCGCTCCGCCACCGGATTGGCCCCCGGCGCCCCGGATTGGCCCAGGCCGTCCAACAGCCGCCCCGCCCAGAGAGAGGCCATTGGTCCTTGCCCATAGGGGCGGGGCACGGCCGAGATAAGCGGAATGCGGCCTTCGGAAAGAGCCCCCGGGCCGGGGCACGGAGAGAGCCGAGCGCCGCAGCCATGAGCCGAATAGAGCCGGAGAGACCCGAGTATGACCGGAGAAGCCCAGGCCGGCCGGAAGAGGAGCCGAGCGCGGCCGGAAGGAACCGAGCCCGTCCGAAGGGAGCGGAGCGCAGCTGGGCGTGGGGCCCGGTCGATCCCGCGCCATGGCGGCCGAGGGGACAGCTGTGGCCGGAGGCGGGGCTGTTGGCGGCTGCCTGGCCAAAGACGGCTTGCAGCAGCCTAGGTGCCCGGACACTACCCCAAAACGGCGGCGCGCCTCTTCGCTGTCGCGTGACGCCGAGCGCCGAGCCTACCAGTGGTGCCGGGAGTACTTGGGCGGGGCCTGGCGCCGAGTGCAGCCCGAGGAGCTGAGGGTTTACCCCGTGAGGTGGGAGGTCAGGGGTCAGCCTCTCCGGTGCGCGGATCGGGGTCAGGGGTCAGCCGCGGGGCCCTCAGGATGCTCCATGTTTTCGCCCCTTCTTGCGTCCGAGCCTGGGGCGGGGCCGGGGCCGGCCTGGCCGGGAGGGGGCCGGGGCCGCGGCAGGTGGGGCCGCCCGCGGGCTGAGCGCGCCTGGTGTGGGTCTGCAGCGGAGGCCTCAGCAACCTGCTCTTCCGCTGCTCGCTCCCGGACCACCTGCCCAGCGTTGGCGAGGAGCCCCGGGAGGTGCTGCTGCGGCTGTACGGAGCCATCCTGCAGGTGAGGGGGTGTGAGCGCCGCAGCGCAGTGGCTTTAGGGCCTGCCGCTTACGGGATGCGGGTAGTAGTGTCCCCATTGCGCAGTTAAGGACAGCCAGGCTCACAGTCTAAGAGTAACACCTTCTCACACTGAAGCCTGGGCCTGTATTCCCAGCGCTTTGGGAGGCTGAGGCGAGAGGATCACTTGAGCACAGGAATTCGAGACCAGCCTGAACAACATAGTGAGACCCCATCTCTAAATAAAAACAGACCATCGCGAAAGCCTGTGCTCCAGAGCCTCCAGGCAATTGGACCAGAAGTCCCAGCTCTGGTGGGAGGAAAGCAAGCCCTCATGTCTGTCCCTGTACCACTTTGCCTTGGCCCTTTTGCTATCCATCCTTTTTCAGGGCGTGGACTCCCTGGTGCTGGAAAGCGTGATGTTTGCCATCCTTGCGGAGCGGTCGCTGGGGCCCCAGCTGTATGGCGTCTTCCCAGAGGGCCGGCTGGAACAGTACATCCCAGTACGAGCCCAGTCCTACCTTCTCCTCCCCAAGGCACCTCCACTCCCTAACCCTACCCCAGTGCCCAATGTCTGCCTTCACATCCCTCACCCCAAACCCTGACCTCCCCCCATGCCCCAATCCTTCCCCCTCCTGCCCCAGCCCCATCACCACCCTGATAGCTTCCTGGGTGCAGAGCCGGCCATTGAAAACTCAAGAGCTTCGAGAGCCAGTGTTGTCAGCAGCCATTGCCACGAAGATGGCGCAATTCCATGGCATGGAGATGCCTTTCACCAAGGAGCCCCACTGGTTGTTTGGGACCATGGAGCGGTGAGTCAGGAGCCTCCTCAGGGCTCCTGTACACCTGAGCTGAACCTCTTTGCCAGCACATGTGTCCGGGGCTCTATCCAGCCCTCCACTTGAGAGGATTTGATATCATGGGCTCTCACAGAACAGGCTTTGAAATGCCTGCCAGAGGCCACAAGCAGTGCCTCATGCCTGTAATCCCAGAACTTTGGGAGCCGAGGTGGGTGAGTCACTTGAGGTCAAGAGTTCCAAGACTGCCCTAGCCAACACGGCAAAATGCCATCTCTACTAAAAATACAAAAATTAGCCCATCGTGTTGGCAGGCACCTGTAATCCCAGCTACTCAGGAGGCTGAGGTGGGAGGATCCCTTGAGCCCAGGAGGCGGAGGTTGCAGTGAGCTGAGATCATGCTATTGCACTTCAGCCTAGGTGACAGAGCAAGACTCTGTCTCAAAAAAACAAACAAAAAAAGAAAATAAATGATTGCCAAGGCCAGGCACGGTGGCTCATGCCTGTAATCCTAGCACTTTGGGAGGCTGAGGCGAGCATATTGCCTGAGCTCAGGAGTTCGAGACCAACCGGTGAAACCCTGTCTCTATTAAAATACAAAAAATTAGCCAGGCTAATGTCTGCGTGTACCTGTAGTCCCAGCTATTCGGGAGGCTGAGGCAGGAGAATTGCTTGAACCAGGGAGGCAGAGGTTGCAGTGAGCCGAGATCGTGTCACTGCGCTCCAGCCTGGGTGACAGAGTAAGACTCTATCTCAAAAGAAAGAAGAAATGGGCTGGGCGCGGTGGCTCAAGCCTGTAATCCCAGCACTTTGGGAGGCCGAGACGGGCGGATCACAAGGTCAGGAGATCGAGACCATCCTGGTTAACACGGTGAAACCCCGTCTCTACTAAAAAAAATACAAAAAAACTAGCCGGGCGAGGTGGTGGACGCCTGTAGTCCCAGCTACTCGGGAGGCTGAGGCAGGAGAATGGCGTGAACCCGGGAGGCGGAGCTTGCAGTGAGCTGAGATCCGGCCACTGCACTCCAGCCCGGGCGACAGAGCGAGACTCTGTCTCAAAAAAAAAAAAAAACAAAAAACAAAAAAGAAAGAAGAAATGATTGCCAGACAAGTCACACAGTGATAAGAGCAGGGGTGCAGTAGTCTGGCCTGAGGGGTAGATAGGAGAGGGATGGGAAAGAATATCAGAGCCAGTGTGTCCTATTATTTGGGCTTCAGGTACCTAAAACAGATCCAGGACCTGCCCCCAACTGGCCTCCCTGAGATGAACCTGCTGGAGATGTACAGCCTGAAGGATGAGATGGGCAACCTCAGGTGAGGGCAGGCAGGACAAGGCTAATGGTAATGGTGTCCGCCCTTCCAGTATTTGCTGAGGGCTGGTGTCAGGGCCTGGCCTGTTCGTGTGGCTCTGATCCTTCTCTAGTCACTCCTGCTCAGGACCCATGCTCCCATACCCCTGCAGGAAGTTACTAGAGTCTACCCCATCGCCAGTCGTCTTCTGCCACAATGACATCCAGGAAGGTAGGAGAAGGCATCTGAGTCTCCCAACCCAAGATGGAGGAGCCAGAGGGCTCTGGAGTGAGCAGAACCTCACCCCATTCCCCCAGGGAACATCTTGCTGCTCTCAGAGCCAGAAAATGCTGACAGCCTCATGCTGGTGGACTTCGAGTACAGCAGTTATAACTATAGGTGAGGCTGGAAAGATGGCTTCCCATAGATCTGTTCCCACAGGGCATTTGAAAACAGGCCAGCTGCCCAGGGCATTTGGGGACTGAATGTCCACCTTATTCTCCCAGGGGCTTTGACATTGGGAACCATTTTTGTGAGTGGGTTTATGATTATACTCACGAGGAATGGCCTTTCTACAAAGCAAGGCCCACAGACTACCCCACTCAAGGACAGCAGGTATGTGGGCCAGAGGCTGGGGAGCAGGACCCATCCTGTGAGGAAGGAGGGAGGTGGAGTCTGGAAGGAATGGCTGGAAAGGATGTTACCTGGGAAATACTCCACAGTCTCCCCAATTCCTGACTCTTGGCCGTTGATCGCAGCTGCATTTTATTCGCCATTACCTGGCAGAGGCGAAGAAAGGTGAGACCCTGTCCCAAGAGGAGCAGAGAAAACTGGAAGAAGATTTGCTGGTAGAAGTCAGTCGGTGAGGAAGGAGGGGCGGGGTGGGGTAGGGCAGAGCAGAGGAAAGGGGGATTGGGGAAGAGGCAGATTAATCAAGCTGCAGGGAAGGTGGTTGTGCAGAGTGGGGTTAGCACAGTGGGGGAGAAGTTAAAACTGCAGGGATTGGCCAGCCTGGGTGAGGGGATCCAAGCAGAGCCAGATGTGCTTTATGAATACCCCTACTTTTCCTGCCCTCCCCCCAGGTATGCTCTGGCGTCCCATTTCTTCTGGGGTCTGTGGTCCATCCTCCAGGCATCCATGTCCACCATAGAATTTGGTTACTTGGTAAGTGACCCTGGGAATGGGAATGCTGCTAGCTGGGGACTGGGGAGCAGCAGCAGCCACACTCTTCCAGGAGGCCTGGGGAGTCCTGGGTGGCTGTGGGCAGTCTGAGGTGGGTGCAGAATGCTGGTCCCACGTCTTCTCACCACTGTGTGGGGTGGGTTTCCTTCCCTAGGACTATGCCCAGTCTCGGTTCCAGTTCTACTTCCAGCAGAAGGGGCAGCTGACCAGTGTCCACTCCTCACCCTGACTCTCCACCCCCCCACTCCTTGGATTTCTCCTGGAGCCTCCAGGGCAGGACTTTGGAGGGAGGAGCAACCAGCAGAAGGCCCTGGGGACTGGGCTGAGCCCCCAAGTGAAACTGAGGTTCAGGAGACCGGCCTCTCCCTGAGTTTGAGTAGGTCTCCATGGCTGGCAGGCCAGAGCCCTGTGCTGTGTATGTAACACAATAAACAAACTTCTTCCTTCGCGCCCTGTCCTGGCCCTGCTGAGCAGCAGCAGCAGAAAGTACCAAACCAAGCAGTACACACAGAGGGGCTCTTCAGTGCCGTGGGCTTGAAAGTGGTTAGGGTTCATGCTGCCAGTGGGGGTCCCCCATCCCTCCCCACTCCCCTGGCTCCAGCTTAGAATAGTGAATACTAGGACTTGGGGAGGAGAAGGAGAGTGATGGGGGTATGAAGACGACCCTGAGGTGGGGATGCCGCCCAGAGCACCAGCGATCCCAGAACAGGCACAGCTGACACATCGGTGACCTTTTCCCTACATTTGGCTATTTTTAGCTCTAATGCCACCATCCTCACGAGACTCTCTGGGGCCCCCCAGGCTCCCAGACCTTTGAGCAACCTTCACGGCGCAGAAACCCAGCCCCGCCCTGCAATTCCCACCGCGGAAGGCGGGTGGTCTGGTTCCCGCCCCACGTTTTTCCGGACCCCGATTTGGGAGTAGGTGTCAGGTTCCTGGTGAGGGCGGGGCGGGGGTGGCTAGGCCTGAAGGACGTGGGGACACGGGCCAGAGTGGCTGGCCCCACGCGCGGACAGGAGCGAACCTGAGCTGTGAGTAGGGGCCGGCGCAGGGCGGCCCGCGGGGGTCTGGGCCCCCAGCCCTGCACAGGGGCGAGGATGGCGCTGGGGCCCGCGCGGTCGGGCGGGGAAGGGCGGGTGCCTGAACCCTGCCTCTGTCCAGGCCAGTCCGCTTCCAGGGGCGCTTCTCTTCCCCGCCCGCGCCCTCGCTGACGCCCCCCACTCCAGGCTGCACTTCACCGTCCTTCGGGTTCCTGCAGCCTTCAAGGCCCAAACCCCCTGCGCCACAGTGGCTGTGCCCACCCGGAAGGCTGGCGCGAGGATTTGGCGGCGGTTGGCCTGGCGGGGGGCGCGGGCCGGGGGCAGCCGCTAGTCGCGGGGTGGGGGGTGCGAGGGGTCGCGGACTGGCTGGGGGCTTCTCGGCGCAGCTGGCGCGGGGCCGGCCTAAGCGCGCCCGCGCACCCACCTGCCCCCGTCCTAGGTGCCGACCAACCCCCAGGATGGCGGAAGCGCACCAGGCCGTGGCCTTCCAGTTCACGGTGACCCCAGAGGGGGTCGACTTCCGGCTCAGTCGGGAGGCCCTGAAACATGTCTACCTGTCTGGGATCAACTCCTGGAAGAAACGCCTGATCCGCATCAAGGTGCGCACAGGTGCTTCTCCCAGCAGGTGCAGAACGGAGCTCTCACAGCGGGGGCAGAGGCCGGCTGTCGGCTGTTAACCGCTTTGTTAGGGTCCCTCACTGCCTCCTTGGCTGGCAGTTCCGCCCGGTACAGGTTCTGGAAGTGCAGACGCCAGAGGGGTGCACAGGATGTGGTCCGACACAGGGAGCTGTGGGTGTGGAGGAGGAAGGAGCACAGCAGGGCATCAGGAGAGAACGCCGTCCAGGCCAAGACCAGGAGCCGGTTTCCAAGACTTCACAGGCAGGCTAACCTCATGCCCTCCGGCTCCATAAGGGCGCCTGTTTCTGCCCGCAGAATGGCATCCTCAGGGGCGTGTACCCTGGCAGCCCCACCAGCTGGCTGGTCGTCGTCATGGCAACAGTGGGTTCCTCCTTCTGCAACGTGGACGTCTCCTTGGGGCTGGTCGGTTGCATCCAGAGATGCCTCCCTCAGGGGTAAGGAGTGAAACTGGAAGGGCACAGGTGTCACCAGGGAGGGCTGGGCCCAGCTCACAAGCATGAGGTTCTGAGCTGGGCAGATACAGGACAATAGCCATTGGCAGTCACAGGGCAGCCCTCCCCTATGACAACCATTGTCTTAGTCCTATATCAACTCTTATTTGTTGCAGTCAGACATGAGTGTGCCCAGGGAGGTTCTTCCTCTTGATGTCTCCCCTGAGACAGTTCACAGCCACCCGAGGCTGGCCTCAGGAGGACCCCCTGCAGCCTTTGCCCCCTCTCCAGTAGGTGTGGCCCCTACCAGACCCCGCAGACCCGGGCACTTCTCAGCATGGCCATCTTCTCCACGGGCGTCTGGGTGACGGGCATCTTCTTCTTCCGCCAAACCCTGAAGCTGCTTCTCTCCTACCATGGGTGGATGTTTGAGATGCATGGCAAGACCAGCAACTTGACCAGGATCTGGGCTGTGAGCAGCAGTCAGTGGAGGGGTTCAGGCACCTGGATTGAGACGCTTTGGGCTCCTTTAGGGTTCTGAGCTAGAAGGGAGAGGCAGACAGGGCACTGGTGCCTGTTGTGTGGTTTGTCCTGGAGGGGCTGGGATGGTTCTGAGGGTATCAGGGAGTTGCTGGTTGGTTTCCGTTCTTGCCACTGGCTCCCACCCCAGCACTCTGCTCTGTACCCCCAGATGTGTGTCCGCCTTCTATCCAGCCGGCACCCCATGCTCTACAGCTTCCAGACATCTCTGCCCAAGCTTCCTGTGCCCAGGGTGTCAGCCACAATTCAGCGGGTGAGGGCCTCGCTTGGGCATCCCAGTGGGCAGGGGAGGCTGGATTCAGGAGATGTTTCCAAATATAAGGTTCTGTGCAAAGAGTGGCCTTAAGGGCTTGAGAATAATGGGGCCGGGTGAGGAGGAAGAGGTGGGAAGAGGATTAAGATAGAGGCAGCCCTCGCCATCTGACCCCACGGTGATGATAACTGGCTGGACAGTACCTAGAGTCTGTGCGCCCCTTGTTGGATGATGAGGAATATTACCGCATGGAGATGCTGGCCAAAGAATTCCAGAACAAGACTGCCCCCAGGCTGCAGAAATACCTGGTGCTCAAGTCATGGTGGGCGAGTAACTATGTAAGTTTGTGCCCCGGGCTCACTGTCACCTGCCATGTGTCCTGGCTGCCCCTGCCCCAGCTCTAACCTTCCACCTGCCCACAGGTGAGTGACTGGTGGGAAGAGTACATCTACCTTCGAGGCAGGAGCCCTCTCATGGTGAACAGCAACTACTATGTCATGGTATGAACTGGAGCCCCCAGGCCCCTGCACCTCCTCGCTCTGTCCCAGCTCCAAGGCAGAGGACCTGGAGGATAGCCCGGAGCTCTGGTAGCAGCTTCCGTGGGCAAGTGGGGGTTATGGAGTGAGGCCTGAGGGAAAGGGCAGAGGGAGAGGAGATCCTAGAAGAGTCCAGAAGCAGCTTTGGGGCAGTGGAGATCCTGAGGATGAGGAGAGTGGTGACCCCCAGCCTGCCACCGCCTCTCTCAGAGTCCCAGGGTCACTGCCCCTACCCAGCTCAGGCTGTCACCTCTTTCCTTGGTTTCCTCACTGGCCTCCTGGCCATGGGTTCCCAGCTGCCCTGACACCATAACCGGGAAGTTGTCTAGAACACGTCTTGCTTTGTGTCCCTCTGCAGAGCCGGACAGCAGAATGAAGGCCAGGCTGCTGCTTTTAGAGCTCAGGAGGTCACAGTCTGCCTCTGCCCCATGTAACTGGCCCTTCTGAGTCTCTGGGTCTCCCAGCCACCCGGGCTGTATGGCACGCCTCTTCTCTCCTTTCCCACTGTCCAAAGCACACTTGACTTGCCAGAGTCTATCAGAATTCTCCTCCATAAGCTGTCCTTCCAGGAACTTACACACAACTTGTCCATACCAGAGGTTTTAAACTGCTTTTTAGCGGTAGAACCCCTTTATCAAAGCAAAATAAGTAGAATACAAGCACATAAAACAGGTTATAAAAAGGCAGCTCAGGCCGGATGCAGTGGCTCACTCCTGTAATCCCAGCACTTTGGGAGGCCGAGGCAGGTGGATCACGAGGTCAGGGGATCGAGACCATCCTAACACAGCGAAACCCCGTCTCTACTAAAAATACAAAAAATTAGCTGGGCATGGTGGTGGGTGCCTGTAGTCCCAGCTACTTGGGAGACTGAGGCAGGAGAATGGCGTGAACCCGGGAGGTGGAGCTTGCAGTGAGGTGAGATTGTGCCCCTGCACTCCAGCCTGGGCAACAGAGCGAGACTCCGTCTCAAAAAAATAAAATAAATAAAAATAAATAAATAAATAAATAAAAAGGCAGCTCAGAGTCAGGCATGGTGGTGCATGACTCTAATCCCTGCAACTCAGGAGGCTGAGGCAGGAGGATGACTTAGGGCCAGAAATTTGAGGCTGCAGTGAGCCATGCTTGCCCCACTGCACTCCAGCCTGGGTGACAGAGCAAGAACCTAACTCTAAAAAATAAAGAATTGAAAAAGCAGCCCCAGCTGAAGCTGGAGCAGAGGGTTACTGTGACCAGCTGTGCATTTCTGGAGGCTCACCCTGGCAGCATGTGCAGGACGGACCGGAGGAGGGAGACAGAACACCTCAGGCCCCCAAATAGACTGGTCCTTGGGTCAGCAAGACCCAGGTGACACCCACACAGAGGCCCCCACCCCGCGGGCTCTGCTTTCTCTGTAGGACCTTGTGCTCATCAAGAATACAGACGTGCAGGCAGCCCGCCTGGGAAACATCATCCATGCCATGATCATGTATCGCCGTAAACTGGACCGTGAAGAAATCAAGCCTGTGAGTTGTGTCAGGGTTGAAGGTGGGATGGGAGAGGAGACCTAAGTCTGAGCCATGCTGGGCCTTCCCCCAGGTGATGGCACTAGGCATAGTGCCCATGTGCTCCTATCAGATGGAGAGAATGTTCAACACCACTCGGGTCCCGGGCAAGGAGACAGGTAACTGAGCCCTCCCTGCTCCCTGTGGGCCACTGGCTGGCTCGCTGCCCTCCTGCCTGCTCATCACCAAGCGTCCCCAGTGTCTCAGGGTCCTGAAACTGTGAATAGTAGTCAATTGTGACAGATACTAGACATCTGTTATTTACAGGCATGATGCTGGTTCAGGGACCCCATGGGGCCCAGAGCAGAGCCCCCGCACCTCCGGGGCTCACTGTGCGTGGTGAAGGGAATCCTGCTGCAGCCCAAAGCTTAGGACAGGCCGGGCACCACCATGGAGCCAGCAGAGGAGGGGAGAGGCGCACCCAGGGGTCTGGCAGAGGCAGCAGCCTTCCCTGCTTCTGACACTGTATCCTTAGGCG